CCCCCCCCCCTCCCCCATCCCAAGAATGGGATGAAATTAGATTAGTAGTGAGGTGTTGGGGTGGAGACGGGATGCTGGAAAAACTTTAGTGGAACTGAGGTAAGTTGGCTGTATATATATATACATATATACACATGTATGTGCTTGTTAAGGTGATTAGCTGACGAGCTCCACCTGGGCCAGACTGATTGATTATCTGATCGTGCTCCTCCCAAACCTTGTTAATAAAACATAATTTCACGAGTTCGCACTAATATATAATGTGATTAAGCAATTAGTAGCATATTTGGCGTGCTGTCCAGAGGGAGGGCTCCCCAAAAGAAGCTAATGGCATGAGACAGCAGCCGGAGAGAAAACTGTAAGTAGCCCCCAAAAATATGCGTGCCGTGAAGAAAAGTAGGGTGTGCGAGGAGGCGGCAGGGCGACTGGGAGGGGTCGTACGGTGCTTGAACGTGAGCTGCGACTCTCTGCGTCAGATGGCAAGCCCTACCTGTTGCCGAATGAGGAGCATGATGGAAGGCCAGGTGAGGGACTCTCGCTGCATCCGAAGGGAGCTGCGGCTCTGCTGCGCCGGAAAGGAGAGTCCCTCTTGCAGCTGAATACGTGGCGTGGTTTAAAGCGTCAGATGGAGGGCTCTCACTATGACCGAAGGGAGCTGCGGCTCTGCTGCACCGGAAGGGAGAGCCCTGTCCGATGTGGGAAAAGCAAATGGGGCTTGAAATGATGGATGGAGGGCTCTCACTGCGACCGAAGGGAGTCGCGGCTCTGCTGCACCGGAAGGGAGAGCCCTGTCCGATGTGGGAAAAGCAAATGGGGCTTGAAATGATGGATGGAGGGCTCTCACTGCGACCGAAGGGAGTCGCGGCTCTGCTGCACCGGAAGGGAGAGCCCTGTCCGATGTGGGAAAAGCAAATGGGGCTTGAAATGATGGATGGAGGGCTCTCACTGCGACCGAAGGGAGTCGCGGCTCTGCTGCACCGGAAGGGAGAGCCCTGTCCGATGTGGGAAAAGCAAATGGGGCTTGAAATGATGGATGGAGGGCTCTCACTGCGACCGAAGGGAGTCGCGGCTCTGCTGCACCGGAAGGGTGAGCCCTGTCCGATGCTGAATAAGCCTTGAAACTCGAAACAACAGATGGAGGGCTCCTGCTGCGGCCGAAGGGAGCCTGCTGGTCGGAAGGCGTGGACTACCTCTCCAGGCGGCGGCTCTGCTGCACCAGAAGGGAGAGCCCGGTCCAATGCTGAATAAGCCATTAGTCTCGAAACGACGAATGGAGGCACTGCGGCAGCAGTATCAAATGAGCGGGGCACTGCGGCGGCAGTATCAAATGAGCAGGGCACTGCGGTGGCCGTATCAAATTAAGCCGGGCGCTGCAGCAGTGGTATCAAATTAAGTGTGGCATTGCGGCGGTGGTATCAAATTAAGCAGGGCACTGCGGCGGCAGTATCAAATTAAGCAGGGCACTGCAGCGGCAGTATCAAATGAGAAGGGACTGAGACGGCAGTATCAAATGAGCAGGGCACTGCGGCGGCCGTATCAAATTAAGCCGGGCGCTGCAGCAGTGGTATCAAATTAAGTGTGGCATTGCGGCGGTGGTATCAAATTAAGCAGGGCACTGCGGCGGCAGTATCAAATTAAGCAGGGCACTGCAGCGGCAGTATCAAATGAGAAGGGACTGAGACGGCAGTATCAAATGAGCAGGGCACTGCGGCAGTGGTATCAAATGAGCAGGGCACTGCGGCAGTGGTATCAAATGAGCAGGGCACTGCGGCGGTGGTATCAAATGAGCAGGGCACTGCAGCGGCCGTATCAAATTAAGCCGGGCACTGAGTACAATGTGTAATTTAAAATACAGGTAAAAAGCTAGTGAAAACTAATACAGAAAATTTGAGTAATTTCATTGTGTGTTCTACGCAGTTTTACGTCTTGGTTACAAAAATGACATCAACATCCATTATGTCATCACGTCGTTTAACAACAAACTACCTACCTTTAGCGACTTTACCTAAAAATTTTATTGCAACAAGGCCTGTGGTGCTAGCGGAGGCAGTCTCGCGCTAGCGACTGCTACGTGAGCTGGAGGCCCGGCTACATGTGGCACTGCGGCCAGAAGAGCCTCGGTGAAAAGTTGAGCCGAAGTGGGAAGCGAATGAGGTTTTGCTGCGGTGACAACTGGGGTGCGGCCCAGGCTCGTTTAAGGCCTGCCGCTGCGACCCAACGCTCAAGGAGAGCCGTGTCTTGTGCGGGACAATGGTAGTGTCGAGTGAGGCGAGTTCGAGGCTTGCTCGATCTATTGGCCGCCTTGGCTAATTTGCAGGGTGAAGAATAGATCGTACAGATCAGCTTTGTTTACCCTCCGTGAGAATGGTTCGTCGGGAAAAAAATCAGCGTTTGCTTCCGCCTTAAATACTATCCACTTTCCGATCTGAGGATATATTGGCATGGCCGAATGATACGAGGATGTCGGGGAAGTTGGAAGTCTCGCCGGTGGAGGCGAGGTTAAGCCTTGGCGTTGTGGAGAGCGTGTGGCTGGTCGAGCAGAGCGGTGGCTGCGATGAAGCCTGGTGCTCGGCGGCCGTGACTGGCGGAAAAGGAGTGAGCCTAGGGCTGGCAGATTGCAACGGAGGATACGAAAGAGCCCCCGTACAGGTCTCGTCGTAGTACGGAAAAAGTTGAGTCTGTGATATAATGGCTAAAGGAGCAAAACAGAATGCTGGAAAACTTTTGTGGAACTGAGGTAAGTTGGCTGTATGTATATATATATATATATACACACACACGTATGTGCTTGTTAAGGTGATTAGCTGATGAGCTCCACCTGGGCCAGACTGATTGATTATCTGATCGTGCTCCTCCCGAACCTTGTTAATAAAACATCATATTATTAAAATAATTCCCGCCTATGGAAATTCGAATGGTTGGTGGCTGGGGAGGGGCAAGGTTGTGGTTAGAACATTCGGTTGAGTGCATCAGATGACGAAGAAGTGCTGCTGTAGCCTCAAGTTTTCGCAAGTTATTACACATGCACCTGAATAATTATGTATGTAAATATGTATATTACAATTATGAAAACTTTTTTATAATCAACTGGTGACAGTACAATACTGGACAATGATGTAATCTGCCGAATTTTCACTTCAATTATGAGACTACAGTGTTTCCCATACATTGATTGCGGGTGTTTTTATATCACTGTATTTCTGAAGGAAACCGACTGTCTTCAGAAAATTGGATGTCATTTTCATTTAATCTTGCATGTAATGTCTGATAAAGCAGTGTTTTTTAAAATGAGTTTGCATATATATGCCGCCTGGGAAACACTGGACTATGGTATAAATAAGTTCAACTGTATCACTTTGGAATTCATGTTATA